TGGTTGGGGGGTGGGGGCGGTGCTTGGTGATGGGTTTTATTTTCTAAGTGCAATAAATAATGTCATGTTTTGCAAATGTCATGTTAATGACATGATTTTTTTGTTTGTTTGGGAGAATGAGTTGTTCTTATGAGAGTAGATAAAGAGAGAAGGTGTATTACAGATCTCTAATGTGATGCTATTCTCCAAAATGCTATTTTATATCAATTAGCAATAAGAGACTCCTTCTGCCAAAAATCTCACAAGGGAGCCAAAGCTACAAGGAGCTGAGCTGAGTCTCACAGATGCAAGGGACACAATCTGACATTCCAGAAACATGATGGGGCCTTGAGATTCCAAGTATACGGACACGCTGAGATTCTCCAGGAAATTCCAGAGATACAAGGGTGTCTGCAGTGTTTATTGGGCCCTTCTACTATTCCATAGATTTTCCCCCTTCTAGCAGCTTCTCTCTTTCAAGAGGAGATGACAAGTTGTGTCCAGCCCATAGAAGGAAAAGAATATCCAGGGAAATACTGACAACATCATCTACGAAAAATGAAAAATCGTAAAACTAATAGGAGGCTTCCCATCCCCCAAACTCCCACTACTTTCAGAATATCCAACATGCATAGTCTTTTTGCCCCTTTGTCACCCCTAATAGCCGAAGTTCTGGATATGAGCCTCACATGCTTGTCAAAATAAATTCCAATTGCAAGACCATCCTCTCTGTCAGTCCAGTAACCCTTAACACCATGTTGGGGTTCTGCATTAATACTGACATGCATCTCTTTGACCAGCACTTGAAGCGTTCCTTATAAGCACTGAACTAATCTAATTCTGTTAAGCGAGTAAGAACAGACAGGAACACAGTCTCAGTGTGGCTGCTGAGGAAACACGGTCTTTAAGCTAAGAGTGCTATGAGAGCACTGAACAATCAGCCTTAACCAATAAGGTGTATTCATTCCCAGGAGCATTTGCTGGTCCTTCAGGACTTGTGTAACTGAGTGTCTGCAGTCACTGACTTGAAAGCAAATTGGATAATCAAGAAAACTGATATATATATATGTCTGAACACCTCTACACTCAAAAATACCCCTACCTGCTGATCGGTCCGGTGCAACAAATGTATTATGCTTTGGCAGTGTTTTCAGTGAAAAGTTCTACAGGATTCAGCTCAGGTAAGCTGGGACTGGATTTTTTTCCATTGTTTTGCACTGATAGAAAAGATTTTCAGTTAGTACAAAGTAAATAAAGAAAAGAAGATATAGAAAAAGATTGTTGTTTTATTGCCTGAAGGTTTTGTGGCTCCTTGGTACATTAAGTCCAGGTTTCATAAACTGTGCACATATCTCCTTTGTAAAAAAAAAGATCAAATAAAGCAGACATTTCAACTGTTCAGATTTGTTCTGCCTGTGCAATTCCATGAAAAACACACTATGCAGGCTAGTAGAAAATATCCAGCATTAGGGATATTGGGGAGGGATCTGGTGTCCCTTTCTAGGGACAGACAGAGATAGATGCATTCAGTTCAATAAACCAAATGTATTTCTATAGCATCTTGCACTGAAGCCTCTTAAGATATTGTGAAGTTTGACTAAAGTGAAAAGGTAGCCCGTTCTGCTCAATTAATCATTTCAAATCAATGATAGGATGTGCATTCCTGGACCATTCTTCCCAGTGATTAGGCCATTAAAGTTCAAACTTCAGCAAATACAGTTCAGAAACTAAATGACTGCATATACAATATTGCTCATTGTGCACAATGCTCTTACATCCCTTTCTTTAAGGTGAAAACCAAACGTGTTTTTACAGCTAGGTGCATTCTATGCTGTGCGTGAAAGGTGAAGTACAAAACAACCCCAAGTAGTATTACACCCCAGATCTGACTCCAAAGATTTATTCCAAAACAGAATTCGAATTTCTGCTCCTCGCCCCCAGCACAGCCTCCTGAAATGTTATGACCTGGTCTTATATGGAAGGCAGGATATATATGGACCTTATAGACCAGGGGTTTTCAACATTTTCTCATTTACAGACCCCTAAAAAATTTCAAATGGAGGTACATATCCCTTTGAATTGTGAGTGTGGGTATACACATACTTTTGATTGATGATAGTCATCTTTTGTAGACCCCTTAGACATAGTTCATGGACCCCCAGGGGTCTGCAGACCACAGGCTAAAACCCACTATTATAGACTAACTAAGTAAGGTATATAGAGGGCACGAGCTTTTTTGTGAACCAAGTTCACTCTCTCTGACCTTATATGGCTGAAGTTAACACAAGGAAACATTTCAGACCAAATGCACATACACACAGCCTATCTGCATTCTTATCTCCCCAGAGGAAAGACCCTAGTTTAAATTCACTCTTCCTTCCTTCCTTTGGACTGATGATATCTCCACTAATGAGGATACAGAAAATTTACTGTGCTGGAGAACTTTTCTTCTACTGGCCACGGCAATCAATTAAATCACTACGTAAACCTAAGCAAGGCAATAATAAGTCTATATTCCAGAAAGTGCCTAGCAAGAAAATGAACAATAATATAGTATCACCATTTCTAATAGCAGTATTATGCTTGGTCACTAATTAATTTTTCAATGGTTTTGGCATCTTGCTTATAAAATAGATGTATTTCTACACAGAAGGTTTCCAACAGCAAAATGAATAGTCAAAAGCAATGTTTACAAGTCATGTACAACTTAAATTTTCTGGCCAGCATACAGGTGAAAGAAGCAGTCATTTTTCAATGTCATATGCAGTAAGATCACTGTTTGAAGCAGTGGGCTTTACAATTCAATGTCATTTGAAGTTTCAGCACATCAGAACACATTCCACCTGTTTCTTTTTTATCATCTTTTTTTGTGTATATTGAAAATAAATCCCTTCTGTGTAGGCTACTGTTAGAGACATTAACTGGAACTAGAATTTTAATAATAAAAAGTATACATTCAAATAAAAGTTGCCAGATGTTTCAGAAGGGCTAAATGCACAGATGCCACCACAATTAATGTAACGTGACAAGGAAGGATTTAAATCTCTTTTGATACCCACATATATGATCAGGGAATTCAAGCAGTCTTGGCTCCAGATAAAGATTTCTGTGATACATCCACAGACATAATCTAAATAGCCCATCAGATATTTTATTGACTTCATCCCAGCTTTATTCCATACAGCTATCTACAGGGTCTAATTATCAAGAATATGCAGCTAAACTGAATGTGCCAAATTTGCTTTTGCAAACATTCAAGGTCATACGAAGTTCTGACAGCTGGAAAAGTCACAGCTCCTGCTCTTTTCCAGTTCTTACTACTGGGAACAGGAAAGGGTCAGGTCCTCCCACTTATAGAAGATCCAGATAACAAGGGAGTTGGAAAGATGGAAGTAGCTGTGGCTTTTGTCAGCGAGATAATTATCTGACTTGCTATCATTCCTCCAAAGTTTTTTCCCATATACTTACAGGTAACAAGTTTAGACCTTATACACCCGGGTTTGTTTTTCCTGAAGAATTTAAATGGTAGAAGGTCAGTAATTTTTCATGCGGGTATCTAGTTACCTTTTAATTTAGATTTTTATTTTACCTCTATCCTGGCAAGATGCAGATGTTGTGTGCTATTTAATGGCTTTAATATTATATTTCTGTTTTTTCAGATTTGTTTCATCCTGTTTGGAAATTAAGAGGCACCAGAGTTATAATTGAAAGGTATTTGAAACCTACCATTTCTTTAGTAAAAAAAGTCACCTTTCTTAAATCAAATCATTTTGGCCACTAAATTGCAAGAGAAATATTTTAAGATATTAATTACACTAAAATATATGTATAATATATATAACAGGCATGTGTAATTATATTAAGATATATCTCAACAGTTCAGTAACTTCAGGAATATGTTACACCTAAATATGATGCAGGCTAATAATGCAAGTGATGAACCAAAATGAATGATGGATATTAAGTCTTTAATGTTCCTCTGGTTCTGTCATGATCCCTTCTTTTCTCCCTCATTATAGTACCTATTACTGGCCCACTCTGATTCCATACTAGAGTATATCACGACTCAAAGAGAACTGCAAACTATAGGAAATCAGCATTGGTCCACAAGCATCTGTGACAGCAAAAGGAAAGTACAT